TGGAAGCATTCTAATAAAAAAATTAAACTGTTTCTATCAAAACCAACTTTATATCAGGGTGGACTTCCCCCTTTAACTGAAAGTATCACCAGAGACGAATATTAATGACTCCCAAATATCAGAAGCATAACTTTAATTCCATTCTAGTTCGTTTATCAGAATAAATGCTATAATCTTAACATAAATACAGTAGGATATTGAAGTCCTGTTCAGTCTCCAAAAATAAGTCTGATTGAAACTAGCGTTGGGCACTGAAACTTTAGGAATGGAATGTAGAAGGACATTTGACCAATTTTATCGTTCACTTGGGATATAATGGGATTTGTGGTGAGCTCCCTCTCCCTCTCTCTCTCTCTCTCTCTCTCTCTCAACTTATTTTACAATACTTCTTTTGATTTCATGCTCTTTCCGTCCATGCTCTTTCTTATCCAGCTCTGTTCTTTACATGAAGTTGTGCAGATATGTACAGTGATGTGGAAGATCTAATCTATGTGTACGGTAAAAAAAAAAGAACAGGCGCAATCCTAGCCCAACTATGTTTTCTACACCTCCGGTGATTGCACTATATTTCAGTTAGAATTTAGTGGCATAATATGTTGCAGACATAATGGTATATTTATTCTAACCTCTGGTTTTACCCCCAAAATGGAATTCTTTGATGCCATTTCATTCGACAATGTATATCAAGACTAAATTTATTAATGAGTCATCATTCGTTTAATTTTTAAATGGATGTCATATTTAGACACGTGACGTAATCAAGTGGTATAATCACTCGATCGGGATGTAAGATGGTAAAATGTTAATTGTTATCTCTCTTTATCTCTCTTTTCAGAAAATGTATTTTGTTTATTGCGTTTTCTCTCTCTTTCGTGTCTATCTTTTCATTGTTGTTGTTATCACTGGACGTGGAGGCCTGGCCACCCATGCTCTTATACCTACACCACTTGTGCCAGGAGACAATTGTGTTGTAATGGATGATTCTCTGCTTTGTTTTTGCAAAAATATATATATATAGCAGGGTAACTACCTCGGTATCTATAATTATAAACGACACTGGACAGATGTTTGAACAACAGCGATACAGAATTACAATGATTTTATTCCAAATTCCATCACTTTCTATAATTTCCTTGTTCGTGCTAGTCTTCAACACTCATTTTTGGTGTGAAAACAATGCAGTAAATGGAAGCCAGTTGAATTCCAATTTCCATGCCGGTGTTGAATTAGCATTTTAGAGGTGTCTTTTCTAAGACTCCGAGTTGATGTTTGGTTGTGCAATGTTTGAAACATCAGGGGCCTTCTGTCAATTGACAATTGAACAACGATTTCATTTTAAGATCTCCAGTAGCTGATAATACTAATGAAATGAATATACATTGTAAGCATCTTCTCCATTTTATATATTAGCCCCATATCAAGCGATGCGATTATAGCCTTGCAATGAGAATACACGCTCATACCATAGTAGGTTCATGTTTATACATTAGTGTACGGTGTACCTACTTAATGTACTCCTATGATACATAATATGCCATGTCCATTGGAAGACAAGGAATTGACCCCTAGCTGCCACATTCCTAAAGTGTGGTCAGAACAGGAATGTGGCAAGGGTCAAACCCTTGACCCCCGATGGACATGGCATGTGTCTGAACGTCTGAACATTGTATGTGCACTGCTTGGAAATGCCCACACACTCTGCAAATTATTCATTGAACAACTCAATATCAATTGTGAGCATATTGGAGGCAATACTGAAGTAATTGTTTCTTTGTTTATATTTTGTTCTGTGATATAATCATAAAATACAAAATACAGCATGAGTTGACTTTGTTCAGAGTACGATTATGCGAATTTAAATTTGGTTTCGAAGTAAAATTAATAAGGACATTCTGAGACATTTCTACCAAATCATTTTAATCCTTTAATTATGTACTTGCAATTCTGCATGTATTTCAGCGAAAGCAATGTTTATGTAAGAATTATGATTTATGTTTCTCAAATTAAATCACGTATTAAATAGATAATCAACATAACTGTTTGTAATAGGTCAATTTGATTCAAATCCGTTAATTCGGCTGACAGACACGGGTTCAGTTACTAAATCACATCTTTTATTTTATAATTTTTAAACTTTGGTAATCATTTCCCTTTTGTGGCAGAAATCTATGTTATTCCCATTAGTCTAGAGTTCATCAGAAGGAAACAAAAGTATGATATTGATAACATTGTTGGTGATAGTATTTTTATTTTTCATGATCGAAAACGACATAGGTGTGCATAAGGTAGCTGCTCAGGCACTTTAATAGACGCTTGTTCCAAACATAATACATGTACATGTACATGTATATCTGTTAACAGTTTCAGATCAGAGACTGTGCCTCACAGACTAGATATTTCAAGGCGTGTTTCATTCCCTTGCCCATGTTACCGGAAGGACTCTGTTTCAAACGTTTCGCGGGGTTTTATCAGACTTGGCGCGCCGTATCTTCCCATCATTGTGCTTTAATTTAGCCCATAATATTGCCAAAAGGAAATAATCATGTGGAATATGACTACCGATTTCAATGACTGGCTTATCAGTCCTTTATGTTGGATGCATATTTGGTGCTACAGTATTCCTGGTATCCATTCCTGAAATGATATTAAATGGTGGATTGATGCTGAGAAACATGAGATGAACCACGTACATCATCACTCGAGTGTCATCAGCTGTGCAGGTAAAAAAGTTCTCCCTTTCCATAGACACAGAATATATTGCGATAGTCTCAAGCAAAGTATTTATCGCCAATGCTGTTTTGTATATATACACCCCTGCATCAACCAGACTAGGAGACAATATGTATTTGTGTATATGTCATTAGATATATGTCTCTTTCACCAGATCACTGTACTCATAATAATACCATTCGTGTTATCTCTTTGAAGTGACGTTGTTGCGTTATGTTACTCTAACTGTAATAGTATATTTTGAGTGGTTGCCAACTGGCCGTCTAGCCAATTCTATTTTGCAATATAATCAGATTATCCTTTGGTGAGCCTTTTTCATGGCAATCACTGCAAAAATAAATTTCTCGAGCATGGTCTGCAATAATGGAATTACAAACATGTTTATGCTGTGAATTGTGGAACACACGAGGGTTACATTTTCACTCATTCGTATATATTGCAGTTGGAAGGGCGATCGACTATTATCATAAGTCAAAACTCTAATTTAGTATTCCCGAAATGCTTCAAGTTTAAAGGTACTATGTCCCTTTTGCAGCCAACCTCAAATGCTGTGGAACTTTGCAGGAATTATGAAAATGTCATGTATGTCCTATCTGTGAAATTTAAACGTTAGCAGTGTCCTCATATTCAAATTATGCAAGGAAATCCGTTTACTTGCTAGACTTCACTGTCAGACACTATTGAGTGACTGACTGGCTTTTTGTCTTCTTTGGTAATAACATGAAAAGTTAAGTGAATTCCCCTTTATATTGTTGAATTTATTTCCATCACAAACTGTACCTTTATTCCAGAATTTGATAAAAAAAATAACAAATTTGATTTAACTTAGAATAACTGGTATTACGAAAATGCCAAAAATAGTAAATAGGAGATGGGAGAACCAGGTTTTTATTTTGAGTGATTAATTTGTTTCTTCAATTGTTTTGTTGTTGTTGAAAGTACCGTTATAAGGAAATTTAACCAACGTAACTTGTTGTTCTTTGATGGATTTTTTGGCACCATATTTAATAAGACCATTCCCACTTATACAAAGTATAGGGGATGGGAAAAGGAGGAATCATGTCTTTATTTAACTTGAATACTGGATTTATTTTCCATTTTTTCCATTCTATTTTTTAGTAAATATTTAACGAAATTGTATCGGTGCGATCGTTCTTCTTTCTTGGAATATCTGAAACATTATTTCATAGGAAGGTTCATTTCAATTGTGGTAAACAAACTTATTGCTTTGTATTCATTTCAGTGTCAGTTTAGTAGATGTATCATCGGGCCGAGAAGGCAGGTATTATATATTCTATTCTATATAATTATTATATCTAGATCTCCAAAATAAACATACACAATCAATTAACAACTATACCGGTGTAATTTTTTTTGGAATGACAGAAAATTTACTGGAAAATAACCGAGGGATAAGAAATGAGATGTGTCAGTCACAGACCATAGACGTACCACCAACGTTGGTGGTACGTCTATGGTCAGACACGGATAGAAAAGTTCAAATTTACAACCACACGCACTGCATAATCACATTTTACACATACACATTAGCGACGTACTTCAGCAAACAATACTCGACAAAATGTTTTCCCGTTATTTCACTTTTTGTGTGACCATTAATGGATTTCTTTCTTTTTACTGCCTTCATCTTCTATTTCTCCATATGTATATATTTGCTTTTCTGTTTCTTTCTTTCCTTATATATTTTCAATGTTTTTCTTATTTCTCTACCTCTCTTTCCATAATTGTATTATTTCTTTGTTTCGTCCGTTCTTTCTCTATATGTCTTTTCTGATGTATTTCTGAGTTTTCTCTTCTTTCATCTACTCTCTTTCCTAATATATTTCTTTCTTTCTCTTTCTATTCTTTCTGTTGTATTGCCTTGTCATTTGATTCATCTTCTTTTTCTATATTTCCTTATGCATTTATTACATTTTCTTTTCTTTTGAGCTTCTCGTTTATTATTTTCGGTTTGTAAATAATGAGCATGCGATATACGCTGTTGTTCATAAAGTCTTTGATAACACTTATTATTTTCTCAACACTTTGATGATCAATTTCCTCATAATGACAATCAAACCACAATAATCTTTACAAACTTTTTTTTCTTCTTCAATTTCTTCAACCTTGGTCAGTGTAACGAAATTATTCCAACGTTATGGTATTAGTGTATGACTGAAAATACTTTATAACATTTGAAATGAATGCATTCGTATAATTACTGTAAGGTGGTTGGCTTGTTTTATTCTGTACAACGCAAGTAAATGACAATGTTTGGTAAGGTTGTACTCATTTTGCTTAGGTCATAGTAATCGACGTCTTGACATGAGACTATCTTCCCCATGCAGAAAACTGACTTGACGTTGGTCGATTCCTTTCGTTCGAAGTTTGTTTTCACCTTAAATTTTCCATTTTAATCATATTTCAAGCAAGATTAGCAATTTCTTTTACAAAAGTCATACAAACAATCATAATTTGGTAATATTCACCTCTCAGCCAGCGCGTGACCTTGTCTGTCCATTAGAAGGAATTCGTGGTTTCGAGGCATAGTTGTTTGCCCAGACCCTTAATAGAAACATCACGTAGATGCATGCACTACAATATTTATAAACAACCTTAATATGGAAGCAAGCTTAATTAATATCTTTTATTAGTACTTAGTACATTTGATATTGATGATTTCGAGTTTTTGGTATAACTATTCGTTAGAAAGAGAGAAAGGAAAATCAATATATAGTGCAACGGGTATGAAAACATAATCTAGTCAGTGGTCGGGTCTTCTAAACCACTGCATTCCACCGAGAGTCAAAATTAAGATAGTTTCTCGTCGTGTTGCCTCGAATTATGACCGTAATAAAACTGTCAGACTAACACGACCTTCGTCATAGGCCCATGTAGTGTACGAACAGTCGAACATTACTCTTAAAATTATCTTCTGTAAAAAATGCCATAAGATAAGAATAAGTCAGTTTGTCCGCGACAAAATGTAGACTGTTTCAAGAAAATTTCGCTGGAATTGAAGACCTTGGCAAGATCATTTTAAGTCATTTTGGCCGGCCAGTTCATAGTGCGTACATACAGCATTGAACTGTGCAAGAAAAAAGAACTTTACATTCGATCTCTCCAAGGTGTCGTTACCAAGAATTATTGATAAGCTGACGCTATGCGTGGACCCAAGAAAGTACACAAGTCAGGGGCGGATCTAGCTTTTTGCTCAGGGGGGGGTTGACCAATAATGACGATGCGGAGCATCGTCCACGCACGAGCCGCGAAGCGGCGAGCCGATTTTTTTGGGGTGTTTATTTGAACCCCGTAAGTGATGTTTTCCTGGCATCTATTAACACAATGGAGACCATAAAAAGCAGTGCATGATAACGTCTTTTTAAATCAAGTAACAGTTAAATACACAGTTATATCCAGAGTTATCATGAGTTGAATATCTTCTCACAATATTTGCACTTGAAAGGGTTTCTCTCCAGCGTGCGTTCTTTTTTCTTTCTTTTTTTCTTTTTTTTTTTTTTTTTTTTTCCTTTTTTTTTTTTTTTTTTTTTAATGTGGGGATTTTGGGGATGAGAATCGGCAACGCTGGCCTAGCTTGTCACTTCGGCGGTGGCCCGTGTCCTCAAAAAAGCTGATGGGGGGGGGGGGGGCAAGGGACTCTGTGACATTTGTTCGCCCAACCCCCCCCCCCTCCCCCCCCCCCCCCCCAAAAAAAAAGAAATAATAATAATAATAATAATAATAATAATAATAATAATAATAATAATAATAATAAATGAAATAAATACATAGAAATAGAATAAAATAAAATTACAAGTTTAAAAAAAAAGATAAGATTTAAAAAAATGGTCCCCGGATTTTTTTTTGGGGGGGTTGCAACCCCCCCAACCCCCCCTCTAGATCCGCTTCTGACAAGTCCACAGTCTGCTCGTATCACCAAGTTGGATAAGCGCAATCTCGACAAGAACAAGAAGTTGCCGTTTGATGAAGATGTGATCTGCATGCTCAACCTGTTCTTGAGTCGACAACAGGCACCGGTCTGTATGGTTGCACACAACGGATTGAGATTTGACTTCGCGATATTGAGGTCAGAACTGTCGCAACTTACTACAGGTGATCTACCTGCAGACCTTTATTGCGTGGACTCCTTGAGCGGATTCAGGGCTGGATTTACGACCGAGAAGCAGGGGGAGAGGAAGCAAAGAGAGGGGAAGAACAAGCAGGAGCCTACATGGATGCCTAGTCCAGAACCAGACTTGTCACTGGAGCGAAAGTTGCCAGATTGTGATAACTCAACAGGAATGGCATTTCAGAAGTCACCGAAGAGAGGGTCGGGTGACTTAGGATCTTACCCTTCATCGAGTGTTAGTGGTGCCACTGTCCATGATTCTCCTAGGACCATGCCCAGAAGTTGCAGTCATGCATCCGACAACCTCTTAACCCCGTACCCCCTCCTATCACCATCAAAACAACCCTTAAACCCATATACCGACCAGCTCAAAGAGAAAACTCCCAAATCTCGCCATCGCCACTCTTCTGCCGATGTCACAACTCACGAAGTCAAGTGGAAAGTCGCCAGCCCGCCGTCGTCCCCTCCACAACTCAAGAAATCACATTCGGAGCCGTGCCACACTAAAGGCCATTCAAAGCCCCAAAGAATCTCTTACTCTCTTGTGAACATCTTCAAGAGGACATTTGGTACGGATCCACCACATTCTCATTCTGCTGAAGGTGACGTGATGTCTTTGATCAAAGTATTGCTTCCTAGGATGTCTGAATTTGTTTCTTGGGCTGACAAGCATGCTACACCGTTCAAGAATTGTAAGCTGTATTACAACCCAGAGTGCCAGATGCAAAACACTGACTTATCATAATATTATATAGTCTAAATGGACGCCAATGGACGGAATTTCATACCAGATTATGTTTTTATCGATAAATTAATTAGCTAATTGTACATTCTCAGTATCGAAACTACGACTCTTTCAAGAAAAACCGGTTCTTATTAAAAGGTTTTGCACAGTAGGGGGTTTGCCAGAACTCGTTATGATTAAGCTATGTAAGATTCATATCCATTGTTGTTATTAAAAAAATACTATACACCTAAAACGTGACATCTAAATGTATAACCTAAATGCATGCTTCTAGTAATCAGTAGGTCGACTTCTTTAGTGAGTTACGTAAATACTTGATTCTGATTTAAGATGATTTGAATGTTACTTTGTTATTTGTACATGTAATATTTAGTAGTTATAGCTTTATAAGGTGGTGTTGAGGTTAACTTGTGATTATCATGTTTATCGAAATATTTGTTAAGAAAATATATTGATAATTAATAGTTTGCGGTTATATTGAATCGTCTTCAGTTTTGTGTTTTAGAGTAAAATTCACAATGATTTGTACTAATTATTATTCCTTTAGGTGTTGGCAAACAAAATTTAGGTCGACTTCTTTAGTGAGTTAGATAATTGCTTGATTCTGATTTGGTAATAGTAATTTGAGTTGATTTGAATCTGTTATGTTACTTGCAAAGGCGTATCTAGGTTGTTTTTTTTAAGCCTGTTTTTTGCCCAATTCGTCATGAAATATTTAGCGGCGAATAAGCCTGTAAATAAGCGGGGGGGGGGGGGGGGGGATAAGAGCACAGTTGTTTCCCCCAATTCGTCAGGAAATATTTAGCGGCGAATAAGCCTGTGAATAAGCGGGGGGGATGGGGGGATAAGAGCACAATTTTTTTCTCCCCAATTCGTCAGGAAATATCTAGCAGCAAATTAGCCAGCCAGTGAATTAGAGGGACTAATTTGTTTGTTTGTTTGTTGTTATTTGTTGACCAATTCGTGAGATTTTGTATACAAAGTCGTTGCTCCCTGGTGGTCCCTCTTCTTTTCTGACAAAACATGGGGGGACTTTGATATGATGTCCCCCATTGACATCTGCAGTCGTGGTCCTCATCAAGAGAACGGCCGGTACTCGAGTCAAATTACCTTTATTTTCTACTTTTTTTTTCCTGCTGGTATTTCCCAGGCTTAAAAATATATGCAGTAAATTAATCCTGCTCCGTGCACGTGCGTGCCAGCTTCATGATGCGTGCGCAATGTGGCCAATCGTTTCCTTTAAAAGAGCGGGATATTGTGAAATTCACAATATTCAATATTGTTTTACTGCGTAACTACAAAGCAAAGATATTTTGTTTTACTCTGTTCCGTCTCTTTTCTTTCGGAAGAAAATCATGGAATGTTTAAAGGACTTCGCTTCATCATCATTAGCCTTGGATAATGCATCAGGATTCTCCGTTAAAAGCTTTGTCTTTCTAGATTTTGAGACGAGTCACTTGTACCGTAAAGATGTCCCCAAAATCATTGAACTGAGTTTGATTGCTATCAACCGTACATGACTTCTCAGCTCAGACGTACATACAGCATTGAACTGTGCAAGGAAAGAGGACTCTACATTTGATCTGTCTAAGGTGTCGTTACCAAGAATTATTGATAAACTGACGTTATGCGTGCACCCAAGAAAATACACAAGTGCAACTTCTGCTGATCTCACCAAGTTGGATAAGCACAATCTCGACAAGAACAAAAAGTTGCCGTTTGATGAAGATGTGATCTCCATGCTCAAAATATTCTTGAGTCGACAAGAGGCACCGGTATGTTTGGTTGCACACCATGGAATGGGATTCGACTTTCAGATATTGAGGTCAGAACTGTCGCAACTGACTACAGGGGATCAACTTGCAGACCTTTATTGCGTGGACGTACTCCTTGAGCGGATTCAGGGCTGGATTTACGACCAAGAAGCAGGGAGAGAGGAAGAAGAGATTGGAGAAGAACATCAAGCAAGAATCTACATTGTTATCACTGAAGCGAAAGTCGCCAGATTGTGACAACTCACCCGGAATGGCATTTCAACAATCCCAGAAGAGAGGGTCGGGTGACTATTACCATGGTGTTCACATAGGTGAAGGCTTACTACCTAGGATTGACACAAATCAATCTGCTGATTTCCAGATATCATCTTACAAATCCAGTGACGTCGGATCTTACCCATCAACGACTGTTAGTGGTGCCACTGTCCAGGAGTCGGTGTCTACTGGAACCATGCTCGGAAGGTACGGTGCATCCGCAAACCTCTTAACCTCGTACCCCTTTCTATCACAATTAAACCAACCCTTAAACCATGCATATACCACCCAGCTCAAAGAGAAAACTCCCAAATCTCCCAATCGCCACTCTGCTACCAATGTCACAAACCAATGGAACTTACCAGCCACCCGTCGTCCCCTCCACATCTCTACAAAGGCAAACTCGGAGCCGTGCCACACTGCAGGCCATTCTAAGCAACTAAAAGTCTCTTACACTCTTGTGAACATCTTCAAGAGAACATTTTGGTACGGAACCACCAAATTCTCATAGTGCTGAAGGTGACGTGGTGTCTTTGATCAAAGTATTGCTTCCTAGGATGTCTGGATTTGTTTCTTGGGCTGACAAGCATGCTACACCGTTCAAGAATTGTAAGCTGTATTACAAACCAGAGTGCCAGATGCAAAACACTGACTTATTATAATATTATATAGTCTAAATGGACGCCAATGGACGGAATTTCATACCAGATTATGTTTTTATCGATAAATTAATTAGCTAATTGTACATTCTCAGTATCGAAACTACGACTCTTTCAAGAAAAACCGGTTCTTATTAAAAGGTTTTGCACAGTAGGGGATTTGTCAGAACTCGTTATGATTAAGCTATGCAAGATTCATATTCATTATTGTTATTAAAAAAAAATACTCTACACCTAAAACGTGACATCCAAATTTATAACCGAAATGTAAGATAGCTATACATTGTGGGGAGAGTTTCTCAGAATCCTGTTTTAGGTTTCATCAAATGCATACTTTTTATAATAATGTGGTTACCGACAGAGGCGCGTCTAGAATTCTCTGGCCCAAGTGGCCTAGTCAGCATAGCCCCCCTCCCCTCCGAAAAGGGCTACCACATATTATTCTTGCGTATTTTGGGGGGCAACCAATCGATGTCACCTGGGGCACAATATATACTCTTCTTTTCTCGTAATTTTATGTGTATTTTAATAAAGAATGCATGCAAGATTCTATTTTTTTTTCGAGAGCAATACCCCGTGCCCATTGAATCCGCCAAAGTCTGATATTTGTTCATAAAACAAACAGTATCAAATGAATAACGGTGTAATCATCAACAAAAACGGAGCAAAGTGTAGTTACTGCCCTCTATCAATGGATATTATTATAACCAGCCCGATAAAATCAAAATGATTGTGACCTTTACTTTACGGTTGTAGGTTTATGTTTAATGATTAGAATAGTACCCTATTGTTCTATTTGCTGAATGTAAATAGAAACCTTGTGGTTTATTCAATTTGGAAATCATGTCGATTAGATTATAGTCAGCTTGAACAATTGTATATTCGTTTATTTTGTTATGTGTGTAATAGGTCAAAATTGTACTGTTTTATTCAATATCTTTCTATTTTCATCAATAACTAATCAATATCTCAACAGGAAGTGAACTAAAAGAAACAAAGAAGTTTATATAATGTTTGATTCACCCATATTCTGATTAAAAGCTATGACGCACTTGTCACTTAAACCTAAACATGACATTTCACAGCTATGAGAAAGTTTATGACGTACATACTGGTCACTTGGTCACTTTTATATGTTTGTTTTCCTTTGTATATTTTTAATGAAAGTATTGAATCAAGTGAACTTGTCAGCATCTTCCATTAGAGAGTGTAACTGTTATATAAGGGGGCAGAACTATTAGCCAGATTCACTCCTAAACTCCACCCCCATTCAAGAGGCAGGCAGATCTAGAGAGGTCGCCTCGGCAGGCCTTGGGGTTACATTAGGTAAGAAGTTTATCCTTCTGTCAAGTTTGAAAATTATTGAGATAATTTATATTTTTGTAGATGTACTCTGATGTTAGTTTATAACTTTGATATTGTTCTGAATGATGAGTTGTGCTGAATTAAAATGCATTCTGTAAGCCGCGTGGCATATGTAATCAGTAGGTCGACTTCTTTAGTTAGTTATGCAAATACTTGATTCTGATTTAGTAATAGCAATTTGAGACGATTTGAATGTTACTATGTTATCTGTTATGTTACTTGTAATATATAGTAGTGACAGTTTTATAATGTGTTGTTGAGGTTAACTCTGGATAATCATATGTGGCAAAATATTTGTTAAATAGTATATTGATAATTATAAATTTGCGGTTATATTGAATCGTCTTCAGTTTTGTGTTTTAGAGTAAAATTCACAATGGTTTGTACTAGTTATTATTCCTTTAGGTGTTGGCAAACAGAATCTAGATCGACTTCTTTAGTGAGCTAGATAAATGCTTGGTTCTGATTTGGTAATAGTAATTTAAGATGATTTGAATCTGTTATACTTGCAAGGGCGTATCTAGGATTTTTTAAGGAGAGGTGGTTTTTGCCCAATTCGTTTTGTATACCAAAACCGTTGCTCACTGGTGGTCCCTCTTTTTTCTGACAAAAGATAGGGGACATGATGTCCTCTCCCCCCCCCCCCCTCCCTAGGAAAAAAATCATGGGCGGACGTGTCCCCCTGTGTCCCCTCCCCCCCCCCCCCCCGCCCCGGGATTGACGCCCAGTGCCTGGCGGCATCGAAGATGGTACCAAGGGAATGAGCAATATGACTCCATCTCTTAGAAATCCTTGGTTTTATGTAAGTGGACGAATGTCGGTTATATAAATGCCCATAAGGGCCTTGCCTGACATACCTCCACGTCCAGAAGGAATGCTTTACGTTCATGAGTGCATATCCTTCTGGATTAGATATATTAATCAATTTCAGTCAAAACAGTAATTATAACATACATAAGAAAATATCATAAGTTCACAATGATATACATTCAACATTACCTACGTACAAACAGATAGTTAATCGCGGGGCTACTTTGTCCTCGGAGTAGGTCTACCAGACCCAGGTGACCATTAAAGTAATTAGGCTTTTGTGTCAAGTAGGGTGTTCTAAAAGGAAAAATTACTGAAGTTTGAACATGTTTGGTCACCACACCTTAATCAAGGGACTCGAATGAAGTAAAGATTGTAATCACCATGAAGAGAGTATCATAAATTTTGTTTGTAATAAGAATTTCCTTGAGCTTGAGTTGATATCAACACCATTTACATCTGCAGTCGTGGTCCTCATCACTATACCCAAGCAAGAGAACGGCCGGTACTCGAGTCAATTTAGCTTTATTTTTCTACCGGTCCTTTTTTTTTCCTGCTGGTATATTCCCCGGAATGCAGTAATCCTGCTCCGTGCGTGCCAGGCTTCATGACGCGTGCGCAATGTGGCCAATTACAACCGTTTCCTTTAAAAGAGCGGGATATTGTGTATAGTGTTTTACTGCGTAACTACAAAGCAAAGATAGTTTGTTTTACTCTGTTCCGTCTTTTTTCTTTCGGAAGAAAATCATGGAATGTTTAAAGGACTTCGCTTCATCATCATTAGCCTTGTATAATGCATCAGGATTCTCCGTTAAAAGCTTTGTCTTTCAAGATTTTGAGACGAGTCACTTGTACCGTAAAGATGTCCCCAAAATCATTGAACTGAGTTTGATTGCTATCAACCGTGCAGGCCTTCTCAACTCAGACGTACATACAGCATTGAACTGTGCAAAGAAAGATGACTCTACATTTGATCTGTCTAAGGTGTCGTTACCAAGAATTATTGATAAACTGACGTTATGCGTGCACCCAAGAAAATACACAAGTGCAACTTCTGCTGATCTCACCAAGTTGGATAAGCACAATCTCGACAAGAACAAAAAGTTGCCGTTTGATGAAGATGTAATCTCCATGCTCAACATGTTCTTGAGTCGACAAGAGGCACCGGTCTGTCTGGTTGCACACAACGGAATGGGATCTGACTTTCAGATATTGAGGTCAGAACTGTCGCAACTGACTACAGGTGATCTATCTGCAGACCTTTATTGCGTGGACTCCTTGAGCGGATTCAGGGCTGGATTTACGACCGAGAAGCAGGGGGAGAGGAAGCAAAGAGAGGGGAAGAACAAGCAAGAATCTACATGGATGCCTAGTCCAGAACCAGACTTGTCACTGAAGCGAAAGTTGCCATATTGTGATATTTACTCACCAGGAATGGCATTTCAATATTCACAGAAGAGAGTACCGGATAATCTTTACCATAGTGTTCACGGAGGTGGAGGTTTATTACCTAGGTTGGACACTGATCAATCTGCTGGTGTCAAGATGTCATCTTACAAATCCAGTGACGTCGGATCTTACCCATCATCGAATGTTAGTGGTGCCACTATCCAAGAGTCTACTGGAACCATACCCAGAAGTTACAGTGCATCCGACAACCTCTTAACCTCGTACCCCTTTCTATCACAATTAAACCAACCCTTAAACCATGCATATACCACCCAGCTCAAAGAAAAAACTCCCAAATCTCCCAATCGCCACTCTGCTACCAATGTCACAAACCAGTGGCACATCGCCAGCCACCCGTCGTCCCCTCCACAACTCAAGAAGTCACATTCGGCGCAGTGCCACACTGAAGGCCATTCTAAGCCCCAAAGACTCTCTTACTCTCGTGTAAACATCTTCAAGAGGACATTTGGTACGGATCCACCACATTCTCATTCTGCTGAAGGTGACGTGGTGTCTTTGATCAAAGTATTGCTTCCTAGGATGTCTGAATTTGTTTCTTGGGCTGACAAGCATGCTACACCGTTCAAGAATTGTAAGCTGTATTACAAACCAGAGTGCCAGATGCAAAACACTGACTTATCATAATATTATAGTTTAAAATGGACGCTAATGGACGAGATTCCATACCAGATTATTTGATTTGATTTGATTTGATTTTCTTCTGCATTCATGTAAGTTTACAGTTTTTCGATAACAAAGATATGAAGTACAATAAGCATTTTACTGACAAAGAATCATAAAGTAGCAAATACATATATAAACTGTTATTTCCAAAAACGAAATGATAAACTGTCACAAATACTAAATTTCCTGAAACATTTTAAAACATTATGAAATTATTTGCGGAAGAAGGACTGTCATTATAAGCAGATTGCTTGAAAATACGACAGCCCCAGACAAAAACTCATGAAATTTATTAACACATTTATTAAGCAGAAACGGATAGGTAATTGAAAATACAAATTACGATGATGGTGATGCAGATGAGGATGATGATGATGATGATGATGATGACGATGGTGATAATGATTCGAATGAAAGAAGAGATGACATGATAAAGAATGAAGAGTTGACACAGAAATTCTACCTTGAGTATTCTTATAATATTATAACATAGTTTTAACTTTGGCCTCAAATGAGTAGAGGGAGCAACATGATTTAATAGATTCTGGGAGAGAGTTCCATAGGTCAGGACCATGGTGTCTTATGGATATATGGGCAATAAGTAATTTCGGGTTTACTAGATGAAAATTTGAGGAATTCAGGGTGAATAGCTTTATTTATAGTGTAAAAGTTTTGAAATGAAAGAAGGAGCATATTATTTAAATACTTAAACATGATCAGTAAACTTTATAGCGAATTTATGTCGAATACTGTTAGGGTTTTTAGTTTGTAAAATATTGGACTTGTGTGAGATAAATATGGCGAACCAGTACATATACTTCGGGCTTTCTTTTGCAATAAATAAATAGAGTTGAGTTTTGGCGCTTGTGGCCCATACTAAATTACAATATGTTATATACGGTAATATAAATTAATTATAAAGCATAACAAGCGTATAACATAGGATTAATTTTTTCATTTATATTATAAACCAACGTTCCTAGAAATAGAAGTAGTGATAATGATGTATATGTTTATTCCAGTTTAGATTTTCATCGATAATGACACCCAAAATTGTTGTTGTTCTCTTTCTTTCGAGAGGGACATTATCTATAATTATGTTGTAAGGAAAGTCAATGGCAAGAGAATTCGCGTGCTTGAAATACAATACGATCCTATTACATGTTCTTTATTGGCCATAGCATTCGTTATTTTGTCATATATTGTACTAGAGCTCGGTCAGTTGAATGTCCTTTTCTGAAACCATGTTGATTTAGATTTAGGAAATGAAAAGTATCTAAAAACTTATAAAGCCTATTGTAAATAACTTTTTCTAAGTTATTGGATATGCTGGGGAGAATAGAAATAGGCCTGTAATTGGTAATTTGGTGAAGATTGTCTTTTTTTAAAACATGATTTACCTTAGCAATTTTCAAGGACTCGGGACATTTCCCGGTATCAATTGATAGATTAAAGATATGAGTTAAAGGACAAGCGATAAAGTGTATGATGTGTTAAGAAGGAAAGCACTAATTCTATCGTGACCCTGTGATTTATTTAATTTTAGATTTTTAGTTATTTCGGTTATTTCATTAGGATCAGGGGGATTAAAAAACAGTGATGAATTTGAAGGTTCAGGAAGAAATGTAGTAAAATTTTCGTCCGGTGTATTAAGTTTATTTGCTAAATTAGGTCTTTACAAAATAGGAATTAAAGGTATCGGCTACATCTTCAGTCTTTATAACTGTATCATATTTTGTAAAATTATCATTGGGCAATTTTTAAGTTTTTTTTCCAATCAAACCATTTATAATCCCCCATGTGGCTTTCATATTTGATTTCACTCTATTAAGTTTGGAATAGTAATTTTACGAGAATTTCGAATGATGTTAGTTAATTTATTTCGGTATGTTTTATATTTGTTTTTGTTATGAATAGTTGAGTTCGTAAGATAAGCATTGTACAGTTTTTTTTCCTTGTGTGTATCGATTGTAGAATTGCTTTTGTTATCCATGGCATCTTACAGCGCTTATTTTTCTTGTTTGCAGATACTAGTGGAAAATTTTTGTTATAATATATCTGCAATTTCGTATTAAACAGTTCGTATGCTATATCTGCATTTGATTAATTAAAACGTCCAACCATTCTTCCGTTGCTAGATCACTTTTAAACGATTCAATATGGTGGGATGTTTCTTTTTTGTATATGTTTGATTTATGGTGGGATGTTTCTTTTTTGTGTATGTTTGATTTAGCTGACTTTTTCATTGTAATTTCATTATTACATATTGAAAAAATTGACAAATGATCGGAATATCAGAATATATTAATCCACTGGTAATGGTTTCATCAAAGATATTAGAAAAAATATTGCCTATAAGGGTTGCAGATTGACCGTCAATTAAAATAAAATTGGCTCTTATTAAAAGGTTTTGCACAGTAGGGATTTGCCAGAACTTGTTATGATTAAGCTATGCAATATTCATATTCATTATTGTTATAAAAAAATACAAAACACCTAAAACGTGACATAAAAATGAATAACCGAAATGCATGCTAAATAGCTATACAATGTAGGGAGAGAAATCAGCTTGTTTCTCAAAATCCTGTTTTATATGTTTCATCAAAATATTTAATGCATACTTTTTCTAATAGTGTAGTTACCAACAGAGGCGCGTCTACAGGGCTACCACATATTCTTGCGTATTTTTGGGGAAACCAATCGATGTCACATGGGGCACCATTAGGTGATATACTCTTCTTTTCTCGTAATTTGATGTGTATTTTAATAAAGAATGTATGCAGGATTCTATTTTTTTCGAGAGCAGTACCCCGTGCCCATTTAATCCGCCAAAGACAAATATTTTTTCATAAAACAGACAGTATCAAATGAATAACGGTGTAATCATCAACAAAAACGGAGGAAAGTGTTGTTACTGCCCTCTATCAATGGATATTATTATAACCAGCCCGATAAAATTGAAATGATTGTGACCTTTACTTTACGATTGTAGGTTTATGTTTGTATATAAAATGATTGAAATAGTACCCTATTGTTTTGTTTGCTGAATGTAAATAGAAACCTTATAGTTTATTCAATTTGGAAATCATGTCGATTATATATAGTCAGCTTGACCAATTTTATATTCTTATATATTGCACTGTTCTATGGTGAAAACACCAATTCAATATTTCTATTTTCATCAATAGCTAATCAATATCTCCAAAGGAAGTGAACAGGAAGAAACAAAACAGTTATGTTTACAAACTGTGAACTTCAAAGTATGATTCACACATATTAAAAAAGTAAAAATTATGACACGATTGTCGTATTAAGCCTAAACATGACATTTTACAGCTATATGAAAAAGTTTATGATGTACATGCCGGTCACTTGGTCAAGGGTCAGCATCTCCCAATAGAGCGTGTAATCGTTATAAAAGGGGGCAGAGGTTTGAAGATGATATTATATATTATATTGTTGCTTTTACTGTGTTAATTTTTCAGAAATAACAATAAAAACTTTTTTTTCCTTTTTTTTTTAAAGGGAGCAGAGGTATTAGCAAGATTCACTCCTGCACTACACCCCACCCCCCCCCCCTTTCAGGGGCAGACAGAGAGGTCGTCTCGACAGAATTAGAGGTTACATAAAGTTAGAAGATTATCTTTTTGTCATGTTTGATAATTATTGAGATAGTACTTTTGGAGTTGTTGTGTTGAATTAATACACATTCTGTAAAGCGCGTGGCAAATTACCCGTTTAGTAATCAGTAGGTCGAATTCTTTAGTGAATTAGATGAATACTTGATTCTGATTTGGTATCAGTAATTTGAGATGATTTGAATGTTATATGTTATTTGTTATGTTCTTGTAATATTTAGGAGTTATGGTTGTATAATGTGGTGTTGAGTTTAACTCTGGATAATCATCGAAACAGTTGTAAAATAATATTTATGAGAGTTAATAGTTTGCGGCTATAATGTATTGTCTTCAGTTTGGGGTTTTAGAGTAAAATTCACAATGATTTGTACTAATTATTATTCCTTTAGGTGTTGAAAAACAGCAAACAACATGTAAGAAGGAAATGGTTCTTTAGGCCGTATTGCCAGGGTCTGTGGTTATCATAATTATAAACCACTACTTCAATGTTATTTTAATGGGAAATTATGTTTGATTGTTTGCTTGATGCCGGTTGTACTCATTTATTTGTTGGGAGAGTTATCCACAACGATAGGACAACTTAATGTGTGATTAGATACTGGTTATTTTCCTGAAATATTGACTAAGTGTTATTGAATGGAATACAAACAACTTGCTTATCGTTTATTATCTTGAGTCTGCTTGACGTCATTGTCGTAATTCGTACCTTGGAGTCATAAACGGATAATATGTTTGTTGCTACGTGTATTATTTGTGTTTTTCAAACATGTTCTCATTTCTATTTAATCGTTTTAACTTTGTTCATTTGTTCAGGTTTTTGCTTATTGAAACTTGCATATGAAATAAAACATCGAACCACGACACAAGGAATGGTGTGGCGTGTCATCTGTTCATCAGTTTTCACGTGTTACATGCACGTGTATACGTATAGCATAACTTGTAGTAACGCAATATACTTTACTTTCGTGTAATAGCTAACTCCAGAGTATTGGCCTTACCTTGTTTTACGGTCTATATATTTTTTTCTATGGATTATGTTAGCCTATATCTTCTATTTGAAGAATCTGATTGCTGACACTCTGTCAGCATTGAGCATTTTTGATAGGCCTACATGACGTCATACAAGATGGTAGGTAAAATACATGATTTTTCTCTAAAAATGTATAATAAATACATAAGAATTTCTCTACAATTTTTGGGCAGCCAAATGTCTGCATCTCTCTAGGACCATCACACAAAATTGTTTTGTGATGTTGCATGGCCATAAATGACAAGCCAATTTGCATGTTTCGAATTAGCGCCCTCTATAAACATGTTAATTTGCACAAAATATGTGTGCCAGCCAAATGCCAATTTCTTAGATCTAAGTCACGTTAAAAACATATTATATGTTTTGTATGGAACAATTACGATTGTGCTGCATTTATCTATCATCTTTTTTTGTCTAAATTTAGTTACACTTACATATCAAGAAATAAAAAGGCCTATACTAAAATAATTTAGTTTTCATCAAATCAGCGAGTAGTGGTTTTACGGCGTACATCATTGTTCCATTGATAGGCTTTATTTGGACCAGCATTGCTCTAGCGTCAGCTAGTGAATGTGGATAAAGCAGTTGACATCGCTACGGTCAGACAGATGCATGAGTTACAACAGAATTTACCTGTTGGATTTTATGACACAATTTCCAAGAAAGTTCAAACCATTGCAGCCACGAAGAAGTCAATTAATTCAGTTAAATTCCAGACTTTATTCCAGACTAAGCAGAGGTCCATCATTATTATGTAGATATAAACAATGAACAAGAATAAGAGGGGAACACATTATTAAACCTGACACAATGATTTACATGAAGATATAAACAATGACAGGATAATAGGGGAATGCATACAGATATAAGAGAAACAAAAACTAAACTACTTTAAACAACCTCTGCCGACTGTGACAACAAGCTACTGATACGAAAGTCTATCTACTCCAGAGTAATAGCACTGCAGGCAAGTTCAAGAGATGTCATTCATGCGAGCTTTCACCAGTCCCAATAGCACTCTTTGATGATTTTGGAAAGATGTGCACTCCCAAATTAAAGGCGGACTTGAAGAATCTGACAAAGGTTGAGATGTCAGCCAGGCATGAGACACCTGAACAACCTTGTACAGTCATTGATGGTTGTAGTCTACTGTGAATTGAAAGATGATGATGTTTGCTTGGTGTGCCACAATGGTTTCTAGAGGTCATGACGGATCGAGAGTCTCCCAACTGAGTCCCACATCACTGCTGCCCTCCCAGAAACTATCTCTCACTGTTACTGATAACAAACTACAGTTGATCGACACAGGGGCGGATCTTGGATTTTCCAATAGAGGGGGGGGGGGGGGGGGAGAGAGAGCGGCTGAAATTTCGCTCAGTGGGGGGGGGGTGAGCAATAAGTTTTTAAAAAAGAAGAAAAAGAAGAAAAAAGTAAATTTGTGGTTATTTTGTAAAACTTTTTGGGGGAGCTTTTGTTTACAGGGGGCGGGGCCGTCCCTCCCCCCCCCCCCCCCCCTGTGGATCCGCGCCTGGATCGACATCATATTATATGCGCAATTATCCAGAATGATTAGATATTCAGAAATACGCAAACGCACAAACTTGTCATTACCGGTACAATAATGCAGTTTAAATGACATCAGAAAACAAGTTAAATTTCAATTGTGATTTAACAAAAGTTAAGTCTGTGATGGTTCGGAAGGTACATGTAGTGGGGAGGGAGTTACCAAAACGCAAAGCAGCAGATGAGAATATTCTGGATCCGTATGACTTTGTCCTGTCATTTTTGTGATGTTCGTAGAGCTCGTTATATTGCATTTATAACTGTACTATAGGAAACTTTATTCACATGGTTCGTGATATTTTCTTTTAAAATACAACCAAACGATATAACAAATGATAAACATCACGTGGCAGTGACACATGCCTAAGTAATTGGATAAGGACTAAGTATGCACATTTTGCATTATTTAAAAAAAATAATGTTGACACTCCCTGCTTAAAGTCTACAGGTTTTTTTCGGGGGTGGGGGTCTTCATATGGGGTGATCACATCAGCTCCTCCCATTACTATTTTTAGTATCAAAGGTCATTGGTATACATAATACCCACGAAAGAGAACGCTATACTTGAGTCAAAACAGCTTTGTTTTCTCCTTTGTTTTTAGGTATTCCCCAGGCTTAAACATAGATGCTCGTGCGTGCCTGCAGGGTTCATGACGCAGGCGCAATGTTGCCAACCGTGATTTTACAGAGAATATTAATGAAAGGGCGCCAAAAGAAAACACAGAGTCGTGACCCTGTAGTGTGTTACTGCGTAACTACAAAGCAAAGATATTTTGTTTTGCTCTGTTCCATCTCTTTTCTTTCTGGAAAAAATCACGGAATTGTCAAAGGATTTTGCTTCATCATCATTATAGCCATGGATAATGCAACAGGGTTCTCCATTAATAGCTTTGTCTTTCTAGATTTTGAGACAAGTCACTTGATCCCTAGAGATCGCCCCAAAATCATTGAACTGAGTTTGATTGCTGTCAACCGTACAGGACTTCTCAACTCTGACGTACATACAGCATTGAACTGTGCAAGGAAAGAGAACTTTACATTTGATCTGTCCAAGGTGACGTTACCAAGAATTATTGATAAGCTGACGCTATGCGTGGACCCAAGAAAGGACACAAGTCCACAGTCTGCTGAACTCACCAAGTTGGATAAGCACAATCTCGACAAGAACAAAAAGTTGCCGTTTGATGAAGATGTGATCGCCATGCTCAACATATTCTTGAGTCGACAAGAGGCCCCGGTTTGTCTGGTTGCACACAACGGAATGAGATTTGACTTCGCGATATTGAGGTCAGAACTGTCGCAATTGACTACAGGGGATCCACTTGCAGACCTTTATTGCGTGGACTCCTTGAGCGGATTCAGGGCTGGATTTACGACCGAGAAGCAGGGGGAGAGGAAGCAAAGAGAGGGGAAGAACAAGCAAGAATCTACATGGATGCCTAGTCCAGAACCAGACTTGTCACTGAAGCGAAAGTTGCCATATTGTGATATTTACTCACCAGGAATGGCATTTCAATATTCACAGAAGAGAGTACCGGATAATTTTTACCATAGTGTTCACGGAGGTGGAGGTTTACTACCTAGGTTGGACACTGATCAATCTGCTGGTGTCAAGATGTCATCTTACAAATCCAGTGACGTCGGATCTTACCCATCATCGAATGTTAGTGGTGCCACTATCCATGATTCTCCTAGAACCATGCCCAGAAGTTACAGTCATGCATCCGACAACCTCTTAACCCCGTACCCCCTCCTATCACCATCAAAACAACCCTTAAACCCATATACCGACCAGCTCAAAGAGAAAACTCCCAAATCTCGCCATCACCACTCTTCTGCCGATGTCACAACTCACGAAGTCAAGTGGAAAGTCGCCAGCCCGCCGTCGTCCCCTCCACAACTCAAGAAATCACATTCGGAGCCGTGCCACACTAAAGGCCATTCAAAGCCCCAAAGAATCTCTTACTCTCTTGTGAACATCTTCAAGAGGACATTTGGTACGGATCCACCACATTCTCATTCTGCTGAAGGTGACGTGATGTCTTTGATCAAAGTATTGCTTCCTAGGATGTCTGAATTTGTTTCTTGGGCTGACAAGCATGCTACACCGTTCAAGAATTGTAAGCTGTATTACAAACCAGAGTGCCAGATGCAAAACACTGACTTATCATAATATTATAGTTTAAAATGGACGCTAATGGACGAGATTCCATACCAGATTATTTGATTTGATTTGATTTGATTTTCTTCTGCATTCATGTAAGTTTACAGTTTTTCGATAACAAAGATATGAAGTACAATAAGCATTTTACTGACAAAGAATCATAAAGTAGCAAATACATATATAAACTGTTATTTCCAAAAACGAAATGATAAACTGTCACAAATACTAAATTTCCTGAAACATTTTAAAACATTATGAAATTATTTGCGGAAGAAGGACTGTCATTTTAAGCAAATTGTTTGAAAATACGACAGCCCCAGACAAAAACTCATGAAATTTATTAACACATTTATTAAGCAGAAACGGATAGGTAATTGAAAATACAAATTACGATGATGGTGATGCAGATGAGGATGATGATGATGATGATGATGATGACGATGGTGATAATGATTCGAATGAAAGAAGAGATGACATGATAAAGAATGAAGAGTTGACACAGAAATTCTACCTTGAGTATTCTTATAATATTATAACATAGTTTTAACTTTGGCCTCAAATGAGTAGAGGGAGCAACATGATTTAATAGATTCTGGGAGAGAGTTCCATAGGTCAGGACCATGGTGTCTTATGGATATATGGGCAATAAGTAATTTCGTGTTTACTAGATGAAAATTTGAGGAATTCAGGGTGAATAGCTTTATTCATAGTGTAAAAGTTTTGAAATGAAAGAAGGAGCATATTATTTAAATACTTAAACATGATCAGTAAACTTTATAGCGAATTTATGTCGAATACTGTTAGGGTTTTTAGTTTGTAAAATATTGGACTTGTGTGAGATAAATATGGCGAACCAGTACATATACTTCGGGCTTTCTTTTGCAATAAATAAATAGAGTTGAGTTTTGGCGCTTGTGGCCCATACTAAATTACAATATGTTATATACGGTAATATAAATGAATTATAAAGCATAACAAGCGTATAACATAGGATTAATTTTTTCATTTATATTATAAACCAACGTTCCTAGAAATAGAAGTAGTGATATGATGTATATGTTTATTCCAGTTTAGATTTTCATCGATAATGACACCCAAAATTGTTGTTGTTCTCTTTCTTTCGAGAGGGACATTATCTATAATTATGTTGTAAGGAAAGTCAATGGCATGAGAATTCGCGTGCTTGAAATACAATACGATCCTATTACATGTTCTTTATTGGCCATAGCATTCGTTATTTTGTCATATATTGTACTAGAGCTCGGTCAGTTGAATGTCCTTTTCTGAAACCATATTGATTTAGATTTAGGAAATAAAAAGTATCTAAAAACTTATAAAGCCTATTGTAAATAACTTTTTCTAAGTTATTGGATATGCTGGGGAGAATAGAAATAGGCCTGTATTTGGTAATTTGGTGAAGATTGTCTTTTTTTAAAACATGATTTACCTTAGCAATTTTCAAGGACTCGGGACATTTCCCGGTATCAATTGATAGATTAAAGATATGAGTTAAAGGACAAGCGATAAAGTGTATGATGTGTTAAGAAGGAAAGCACTAATTCTATCGTGACCCTGTGATTTATTTAATTTTAGATTTTTAGTTATTTCGGTTATTTCATTAGGATCAGGGGGATTAAAAAACAGTGATGAATTTGAAGGTTCAGGAAGAAATGTAGTAAAATTTTCGTCCGGTGTATTAAGTTTATTTGCTAAATTAGGTCTTTACAAAATAGGAATTAAAGGTATCGGCTACATCTTCAGTCTTTTTAACTGTATCATATTTTGTAAAATTATCATTGGGCAATTTTTTAGTTTTTTTTCCAATCAAACCATTTATAATCCCCCATGTGGCTTTCCTATTTGATTTCACTCTATTAAGTTTGTCGGAATAGTAATTTTACGAGAATTTCGAATGATGTTAGTTAATTTATTTCGGTATGTTTTATATTTGTTTTTGTTATGAATAGTTGAGTTCGTAAGATAAGCATTGTACAGTTTTTTTTCCTTGTGTGTATCGATTGTAGAATTGCTTTTGTTATCCATGGCATCTTACAGCGCTTATTTTTCTTGTTTGCAGACACTAGTGGAAATTTTTTGTTATAATATATCTGCAATTTCGTATTAAACAGTTCGTATGCTATATCTGCATTTGATTAATTAAAACGTCCAACCATTCTTCCGTTGCTAGATCACTTTTAAACGATTCAATATGGTGGGATGTTTCTTTTTTGTATATGTTTGATTTATGGTGGGATGTTTCTTTTTTGTGTATGTTTGATTTAGCTGACTTTTTCATTGTAATTTCATTATTACATATTGAAAAAATTGACAAATGATCGGAATATCAGAATATATTAATCCACTGGTAATGGTTTCATCAAAGATATTAGAAAAAATATTGCCTATAAGGGTTGAAGATTGACCGTCAATTAAAATAAAATTGGCTCTTATTAAAAGGTTTTGCACAGTAGGGATTTGCCAGAACTTGTTATGATTAAGCTATGCAAGATTCATATTCATTATTGTTATAAAAAAAATACAAAACACCTAAAACGTGACATCAAAAATAACCGAAATGCATGCTAAATAGCTATACATTGTGGGGAGAGAAACCAGCTTGTTTCTCAAAATCCTGTTTTATGTTTCATCAAAATATTTAATGCACACTTTTTCTAATAGTGTAGTTACCAACAGAGGCGCGTCTACAGGGCTACCACATATTCTTGCGTCTTTTGGGGGAAACCAATCGATGTCACATGGGGCACCATTAGGTGATATACTCTTCTTTTCTCGTAATTTGATGTGTTTTTTAATAAAGAATGCATACAAGATTCTATTTTTTCGAGAGCAGTACCCCGTGGCCATTGAATCCGCCAAAGTCTAATATTTGTTCACATAACAAACAGTATCAAATGATTTTTTTTTTTCCTCATTTCATTTCATTTATTTCCACTTCTCATAAAAACATAAAACAATTTATATACAATATCTGATTAACACAACAAAACAATACAAGGAAATAACATAACAATATTAAAATAATTTTAAGCACCTAGAAAAAATACTTGAGACTGTGGTGGAGCCAACAGAGGCCATTGACCTGTCAAGGGCTGATCTCCAGGAATAAATTAATCATAATATAGGTAGGTACAGAACATAATTAAAGACACATACTACACAACAAAAGGGAAAACAGGCGGTCTGTGTGAAGGAAAAGTATACAAAAAGAATATTCGAGCATAAATAATTCAGGTGGTGTAGTAAGTATTTAAAAAAATCAATATATTTTAGCATTTCAAAAGGCATTGTTTATATTTGACTTTGAAAGAGGCAAGCGATGGACTATTTTTAATTCCATAGTTGAGGTCCCAAGTGTCGGACCGTCTGTCTGGACGACTCATACTTTAACAATTGCACACATGGTCTATTGGAATATCTGGTATTGTACTGATGCATTTAAGAGTTTAACATGAACTTATTATTAAAAACCTCAGGCAGCAAGTTGTTGAAATATTTTTACATAAATAATGCAGTTTGCAATTTACAAATGTCAAAAATATTTAAGACTTTAAGTTTCTTAAAAATATGATCACTTTGTGTTCTGGGATGAGAGTTGGTTATTGCACGCAGAGCTCTTTTTGTAATACATGATAGCTTATTTGTTAAAGTATTTGAATATTTCCCCCATACTATATTACATAAAGAAAGGTATGGCAAGATCAATGTGTTATATAAATTGGCTGAAATTCTCAGAGGAATGAAAGGCCTAATTCTATACAATACTCCAATTGCACGTGCTATTTCCCCCATGATTTCATCAATATGACAAGACCAAGTCGGGCTATCGTCTACAGCAATTCCAAGAAATTGTATGCAGTATACTTTATCAATCTTGTAATTATTGATGTATATATCCTCAATTTCATCATTCAGAGGTCCATTAATTTCTTTTCTTAAACACCATATATTGAGTCTTTTTTTAATTGATCATAAGCTTGTTCGCTGCAAACCATTGGTCAATTTTTGGAATTTCTGTACGGATAATGGCATTTATTTATTTCATTTATACTTTTCCCTTTTAAAAACAAGGTGGTGTCATCAGCAAATAATGTAGGACAAATGAGTTTAGTAACATATTACACATCTTTAATGTAAAACAGAAATAGAAGGGGCCCTAATATTGAACCTTGGATTACACCTACAGAAATTTTGAGTAAAGACGACTTGATATCACCCAAGTAAACAAACTGACTTCTGTTATTCAAATAGCTTTTTATCCATTCTATACATACTCCCCTTATTCCATAATATTCTAATTTTTGTAATAATATGCCATGGTTGATACTATCAAATGCTTTAGAAAGGTCAAGAAAGATACTAAAGGCAATATGTTTACTTTCAAAGGCATTGTTTATATTATCAATACATTCTAGCAACGCCAGGGCAGTAGAATGTCCAAAGCGAAACCCGAATTGTCTATTATATAGAATATTATATTTATTTATGAATGACATCAATTTAGTATAAACTAATTTTTCAAAGATTTTTGCAAAAATTGACAAAAGAGAAATAGTTGGATAATTTGAACTTAGATTCTTTTCTCCACCCTTATATATAGGCAAAACTTTTGCTAATTTTAACTTGTCGGGGAAGTGACCACTTTGTAGAGATACATTATAAATATAAGTTAAGGCATAGCAATTGTATACATTTCTTGAGAACTTTGGAGTCCATATCATCATATCCTGGAATCTTGCCATCTTTTAGTCCTAGTACTATATTTACAACATCGACCGTCCGTATGTCAGAAAAAAATAATGAAGTAGGATAGTCACCATGTAAGTATTTACCTGGATTTATATCATTTGAAGATATGTTTTTATTAATATGTATACCAACATTAACAAAGTATTCATTTAATAGTTGCGCTATTTGCTTCTGATCATGTATAATGTTACCATCAATAGATAAAGACATGCATTCTACCTTATTAATGCAATTTTTCAAAA